GGGGAACGAGCATTTTTTGTAGGGGTTTGCACACTCCTGCGCACCCATCTAGACACGACACTGTAAACAGCCATGTGTGATGGCCAAAACTTACAAGTTTTGTTTGCAATGCTGCCGACTCATCTCTGAGCATGCTCTGTACTTTCTTGGCAACTTCTTTGGTCTCTGAGTGATCAGCGTTCGCCTTTTCAACTGTTGTCTCAAGAGTTTGAATGGTTGACTGAAGATCTAACTTCTGCTTGATGAGCAATTGTTTTGCCTCCTGGAGACTCGTAATTTCCTATTTTCAAAAACCATGCTCATTAATTTCATGTTTCACATTTGTCTTAATATATTGAATAACATTTACAGAAGTCAATATAGCTATAACTATAACAATACAACATGATATTTACAACAGAAATAAAGTAAAATTAAATTAAATGAGTATTTAATTTCATTTTACTTATTTGTCATATGTTACATCACATTCCTGAAGATGACTCAATAAAAGTTGAATTGTCGAATCATGGCCTCCCTTTCTTTTAATTCGGAGAATCGTTTGTTCTAGGTTATTTAAACATAAATAGTGGATCTGTTGATGTCAATATACTGAATAACATTAACATTTAGAAAAGTTGATACAACTACTGTACATCCTCATTTCAGACCACTTTAAAATTCGAGACCACTTTTCTAAAGAACCAACAACTCAACAATCTTCAATCTTTTAACATAAAGCTAACTCTCGAAATGATGATTGAGCCTCAAGACCATCCCAAATTTTCGGGTCCCAAAGGTTTCTTGAAGTGGAGGACGTACTGTTATAACAATAAAAAATAAATATTATAATTAAAAATATTAAAATATACAATGTTGATGAAAAAAATCACATTAACATGTAAGTCTGAGAGTGTAATTTTTAGCCATCTAGAAGTGCCATAGACTGAAATATTTCATACCTCAGTCCTAGCCTTGGTGGGCCTGAGGACTGTAACCTGAACCCTTCACCTGAAAAATTGCCTTTCTGGGTTCCGCAGCTAAAACTTACATTCAATTTCTGCTGTTTGTCTTCCTCTGCTGAGGACTTGGTCTGACTGAGTTCCTGTTCTAATGATGCCTTGATGTTATTTAGGTCACAGGTCACTGATTTCTCATCCTTGAGCAATTTTTCAGCAGACATCTTTACAACAATAAATATAATTATAAATATTAAAAATCATTAACGAAATTAACCTCTTAAAATGCAATAAATCACAATACATAATCTTCTAAATTCACTCATATAGTGTATTTGATTTATTTATTTATTTTTTTATCATTGATTAAAAACTGATGTAAAACTTACTTTTTCTTCTTCAACTTTTATTTTCTGATTTTCAGACTCTTTCAGTTCTTGTTCAAGGTCACTGATCTTACCATCTAAGATAATCTTTACCTGAAAAAGAATGCAACCCAAATTGACATCTTAGTATTCTTGCAATTTAGGTGAGACTTTTTTTTAGCGAACCCGCTGACTGCAAATATTGATGATTCTGAATAAAAATAAAATTTTATTTTTGGTCAGTTATTGCACCCACCACGAAAAATAAAAATTTCAGAAAAAAATAAAAGTTTTTATTTTTTATTTTTATTACGCCCTCCGCTGCCTTGAAATCCCCAAAAAGACAAGATATGTATATTTCTTCCTAACTATATCAATTTGCATCATTTTACCATCCCATTTTACATTCACCAATAAAATATTTTTATTTTCTTCTCCATCTGAATGTTTTTGTCAAAACTATTTGCTAAATAAGAAAACAAAATTTTATTTTTATTCCGCCTTCCTCCGATGATAAAAAAAAATTTTAAAAATAAGTATGCGAGACAAGGAATAAAAAAGTCATGTCTCAGTTAGACAGGTCTACCTATAAATCAAATTTTATTTGACAAAAACATGTTACATGCCAAAATATGGTCTTGATGACATCACCTCATGACTATATATAGGCACATCATGACTACATATGGGCATAAAAAACAGTTTTTTTGTCAAATAAAATTTGATAGGCTGGACAGGTCGTTATACATAACATTACCAGCTGACAATGTCCTCACCTCTTGCAGTCCTTCCACACTGCTCCTCAGGGAAGCTTCGCTGCCCTGCATCTTTTCAAGTTCCTGCTCCGTCGTCGTAAGTGTTGCATGAAGATTTTCTATATCACCTTGCAGAGCAGAACTCTTCTCTTGTTCATCCTACAATCCAAAATAAACATCCATAATATTTTCAGTGGGAAATGAAAATGGGGTAAACTGGAGGAATACTTAGGTAGATTTTATGCTGTGTATTATTATTATTATTATTATTATTTATATTATTCCTATTTTTATTAATAATACTATTATTATTATTATTATTATTATTTATATTATTTTTATTAATAATATTATTATTATTATTATTATTATAATTATTATAATTTTTATTATTATTATTATTATTATTATGTCTTTGCCTTTATCATTATTTCTCTGGGTAGGAATCTTGTACAGGGACATGTGCATACCAGACTCATTTCGTTTTCAGTGAAATAAAATTATGAATTATGAATTATGTTTTTAGAAATAATGGCCAAAACATACTGGAAAGTCAACATTTTTGAAATCTATTTTATTGCACTAAGCTAGACTTTATATAACTATACATCATGCTATGCTGTTATTTTTGCTATTTCAAAGATAAAACAACACTTTTTAAGGATTTGGTGATGGTTTCTGCCTGAGAAATGCCTATAATCATAAACTTTGAAGGCTGAATTCTCAAATATTGTTTTTAAACAGCTTAATGTTTAAACTCCTGTAACTTCATAACAAAATGTCGGATTCAAATGATTCTTTCACCATTTTTATAGCTCTCATTTTACTGTTTAACCATGTGTTAATAACTGAAAATTGATTTTTTGCGAAGAGTGACTGGTTTGGCATGTCTTGCCACATTTGTTTAAAACTTATAATGTGGAGAAAATTAATATATTAACAATTTTCCTGTTTTCGTAACTGATGATGATTTTTTTTAATTTGAATAGCAAAGCCCCATATAATAAAATATGATTTGGTCACACATCCTTGTACCTTAATTGTGCTTTGTAGCTTAACAACCTGAGCCTCGTAATTGTGACACATATCACACGGCTTCGCAATCTCCTCCTGGAGAACTTCTATCTTCCTCTGTAAATCTTTCTGCACTTCTTCTTTGCTGAAAAGCTGCTGCTGAAGTTGTTCAGCTTGGCTAACCTATTGGAATCAATAGTGACATATTTTTAACCTGCTAATCAACATACCGTTTTAAGAAAGGAATATTTAGCCAGTAGAATGATTGATATGTTAAACAAAGCAAATTGTGTTATGATTAGTGCAGGTACGCTATAACAACCAACCTCAAAGATTGGCAAATTTGAGAAATGGCATAAAAAAAAAAACTTACAAAACACACACAATGCAAGAATGGTGCTTTCATCAAAAACTTTCTATATTCTTCTTAAAATATTTTTCTTGATCTTAAAGCCGCATTCCCGGCAAAATCTCAATTAAGAAAAATCTGATTTTTATAATTGTTATAAAGATTATAAATATAATACAAAATTGCCAGTTAACTGAATTTAGAAATTGATTGGTATAAAGTCATCATAGTGTTATAATTTACATCATCATATCACCACCCCCCCTCAACATCAGACTGACCACCATTATCAACTATAAGTACCACCATAAGAAACTGCCGTCATCAACAACAATAACACCACCGGCATGGCCATCATAATCATATCCATCATAGGCCTCCGTCATCATCCATCACAATCCATCATTATCATAATCATCACCACCTATTTTCGCCACAGCCACCAGTACATCATCTTCATCGTCGACGTCATCATCGTCGTAATCGCAGCAGTGGCTATCGTTGCTGCCATGTTCATCGTTATTATCGTAATCATGAACTGAATCAACATCTTCATCAACATCATCATATACTTTATTAAAAGTTACCTTCTGAATAAGGCTTTGTTCCTGTTGTTCCACTTGAGTTTTCAATGTAGCAACGTTGTTCACCTCAGTTTCTAACGATTTTTGTAACTGCTGCTTCTCTTCTCCTTCTGTCGCCATCAGATCCCGAAGTTCTAGCTCACTCTGTGTCTTTTCAGCTAAGTAAGTCTGGCAAAAAAAAAAATACATGATTTTACTAATCATTAACTTGGAAACGACTAGCTAGTAAAGAAATGATAACCACAAAAAACTGGATGGTGTTCTTTGTCTTTTTAACAGTTCTGTAGGTAACTTAAAATTGTGACAAAAAATAAAGTGCGATTTTTTGTTTATACCATGTTTAGCCAAACAAAATATTTGTAAGATCTTCAAAAGGTGAAAAAGACTAACATTTTATTTTCTGATTTAACGAAGTGATTCTCCTAAAAAAAAAAAACTAGGCAGAGGAGACAATGAAACAAAAAAACGAGTGCTTGAGGTAAAAAGTATGGGAACCATTCCATGTAATAACAATGCAAATTATCAAATGTAATACCTTAGTTTCCAGCATCTGTTTCTGTATAATTTCAAGTTCTTTCTGAGTAGCATTATGCTTTTCTGTAGCAGAATTCATAAGAGAAACCTAAAACCAAAAAAATATAAGTTAATTTATGCATTGAATTCTTAAAACTAAAGCAAAATCTTCCAATTTTCAATTACTCTCTAATGACTATTTTGACTTTATTTGATTATTTTATTTAGGCTACTTTATTCCCTTTGTTGTTTTAATGTCCCTTTTGCCTATTGTTTTTTAATCTAACTCATTCATTTAGATCTTTAATTGCCATTTAATTTTAATTTTATATTAAGTTTTTTATTTAATTTTGAATTAATTCTGTATGTTAATTTTGAATTGAGAGGTTGTTATTTATTTTACTGTAATTTAATTTGTTTAATACGCTCTTTTGTTTTGTTTTACTGTGTATTGACGGTCTCTAATGATCAGCTTCGGCTGGATGGACCGCCCTCATTAAAGATTGTTGAAATAAAAGTAAAATAAATAAAAACGAACAAGAGATCTGGACAGATTTGATATGCTGTATCCTGGAATGAATGATTCTATCATGTCTTGGTGTTCTAATTAACTAACAATGGAAATACTTAGTTCTGGGTTTACTTATAAATTGACTTTAAACAAAAAAGTGTTTGCCAAACAACACAATCAATGTGATACATCAGACTGATAAACAAGATAAATAGTCAATTTATTTATTTTTCCCGAATCGTCCCACGAGTTTATGCTGAGTTAGCAACTCAGCAAACTCTGCTAACTCATATGCTGAAAAAAACCCTAGTGGGAGAGGTGTTGAGATTGATCCACTGGAAGAAGCAAGAATTATCAGTCATATTTAACGACTAGCAAATTACCTTGTGTTGTTCATGAGTGTGATTGCTCTCTTCTAATTCTTTCTCCTTCATTTCTAAAGATTCTTTTGCTTTCCTTAAACTTGCTTGCAGTTCTTCATTCTGCTGCCTTAATTTATCTGCCTTTTTTGTAATAATTTAAAGAAAATCATATATAAATATAATAGAAATTAAATTACATTTAAAAAATACATGTCTGAATAATTATCAAGAATAAAAAGCTTTCGATTTTGTGATGGTGATGATCCAGAACGGCCGTCCCGAGGCAAAACAATGTAACTGACATTTTTGTCGATTTTGAGATAATATCATTTGGGAATATATTAAACACATCTGAATTACCTCTGAAAATTTCAGGTGTCAATAATGAGTCGTTTTGGAGATAGACCTATCTTTAAGCTTAAAACTTAAAATCTAGTGATTTTCTGTGGCAAAACAACGTAACTACAAAGTTAAGGGGAAAACAATGTATCTACGATGAAGATACGCAGTTTTGCCTCAGAAAGGTATTCAAAAAATGTTATGAGCTGATGAAGTTTGGCATGGAAAGATCAAATGGTCATTGGTGTTTTCATATCAATAATCTTAACAGCAACGTATGAACAAGCTAGGTAATGCATATGATTGCCCCCAAACCTGATAAATTCCAAAAAATATGTCGCACTTGCAACAATACAGCACTTGACATTTTTCCAAGGCAAAACAAAACGTATCTGTAATTATCGCAATAAAAGAAACGGTTGTAATGAAAATTTTAAATATAATCACAATGTCTATAGATATACAATCCTGCAAAATTTCAAAAGGGTACAACAAACGATGACGTCCTAGCTGACCCTAAGACATGCATTCTAGGTCACTTATTTACCTGTTCCTGCATCTGTGACCTTGTTTCATTGAAAGTGGATTTGATCTGATCAAGCTCGATCTGCATTTTCTCTATACTTGCTGCACTTTGATGATTTAACTGAAATATAAAATATAATCGTCAAATAAAGTCACAAAATCGCAACTGTTTACTTTTGTTTTTCCCGAGTAAATAATAACCGTTTCGGATTTATCGTGGGTTGATCACCCATACCCACATAGATTATCTTTTCCTAACTAGTTTAGTTTAAATATTTTTTTTTTTTACTTTATTTACTTATAACATTAACTGATCCAGAATATTGCTATATACAAGTTGGTAAAACTGTTAATGCATGAAAAAGTGTGTGCTCAGATACCACCATATTAGCAATAGCCAAGAAAAAAAATATATCTAGATTAAGTAAATTAAAATGTAAACATTTGAAAACAAATTTTAAAAATATACAGAACACAATAATAGAAAATATACCCACAAACAAGAAAACAAACTTACATTACATAGCTAAAAAATAAATATATATATATATATAAACATATAAACTCTTTTGAGCAAATCTTACCAGGTAATGCTGAGTCGTTTTGTGTTTTTATGTTTGTTTTTGTAAATTTGAAATGGTAATACAGATTATATATAAGGTATGATAAATTGTTACGACTTGAAATAGGACCTTGTTTTTTACACAATGATATATTAAAAATAATTCAGCGAGAGAAAATTGAAATTTATCCCAGAAAACAATTTATATAATTACCTTTTCAATTTCTTTATGTAGTGCTTCGCTTTCTACAGCTTTCTCTTTTAGAGATGCCTCTGTCGCCGTCAGTTGATCTTCAGCTTTGCCCTTAGCCTCTGTCTCAGCTGCCAGTTTAGTGGAAATTTCAGTCAGGCTACTTTGGACAGTAGCAAGTTCAGACTTGGTGCTACCTAAACTTAAGGTCACCTAAAAAAAAAAAAAAAAACTGGTAAAGAGAGATGAATGAGGCTATCAGCACTATAGAGGGCACAGTTACCTTGTACACTGTAAATGGAATGAATTGAGGGATAAGTTATAATTTTAAAAATAACATTTAATAATTAATTGTATTTGCAAACACTACATTGATTAGTTACATTCATCATTCCTGGAACACATATAACTGATAAATAATTTCAAATGAGCACAATCTTTTTCCTCAATTTTTTAATATTTTTTTTTTATTTTAAAATGCAGGAACCTATTAATTATTTTCGATAAAAAGATAAAAATAAAAACATCCTTAAATCTCTATCGAATAATTGGGTGTAATGCAGCATGTAGGCTGGAAAAGAAAAAACAAAAAAAAAAAACCTTGTTTGACATAAATTTTGTATCAAAATATACAACAATGATTTGTTAACACTCTGACCGCCAGGTGTTTGAAAAAGTAGTATCGGCCACCGTCAGACTTTTTAACAAATTTTAACACTTTTCCGAAGCTCGTTGAGAGTGTGTATGTGATCAGATTGACATGTAGTGAATATTACAATAACTACAAACATTTTAGCTATACAATGGTACAGAACACTCTATTCTAATCACAATCTGTGATCAGTAACAGTAAAATGGCTCACTTTTGGCGATTTACGCAATTTCGCACAACGAAGCTGAGATAATTTGCGATTTCGTGAAAGAAAATCAATACCGCACTACGCTAATGTGAACAAACAAATAGAATACTTACGGTCCGGACTGAATATAGTGTTCAAATTGTTACTACATGTCGGTAATTACGCCATTTATCGGATTCCCTTAAAAAACCTAAAACGCAGAGATCTCTGTGTTTCGCGGTCAAGCGTTGCGTTACCAAACACGGAGATCTCCATGTTTGGCGGGCAGAGTGTTAATAATATTAATCATTTTTACACACATATATTATGTATGTATAAAGATGATTAAAATTGCTGAGATGTGTACCTTCAGTACATTGTTCATAGTACAATATTTTAAAGGCAGTGGCTATTGTTACACCAGACCTAAATGAATTCCTAATCCTAATTGGATGTTAGTGTGCAATTTGATAGTACAATAATATCCAATCAGAATTATGAACTTGTTTAAAACTGGTGCAACTATAACAACTGCCTATTTTGAAAAGAATACGACTGGTACCTCTTGGAAATTGTTTGTTAGTTCATCAAAATTCTTTGCTTTCTCAGAAAGTGCAAGTTGAGCTGTCTGGAGTTGGTTCTCCATCTCTCCTTTAAGAGACACTCTAGCTGCCTCAGCTGCCACTAGAAGATCAGCCTGTTATAGACAAAAGCAATATTGTTATCGGTTCTTTTAAAAGGAATGCAAATTCATATGACTTTTTTATGTATAACAAAATAATAATAAAAAAAAAAATATTGTAAATTTTAGTGTTGGTTGTAGCTTGAAATTGAGGTTTTGATGCTATTGTGATTAATAACATATTATTATATTTACTTACAAAATCATCTTCTTACGTATGCATTGTAAATCACTGATTTGCAATTAATTGCTGGTATGAAACGTTAGTTTCACACAGGTGAAAATTATGAAAATTACATGAAGGTACAGCAAAGAGTAAAGAACTGCAAGAAACGCAACTGCCTTGATTTTCGATGCACAATGAATTATTTTACAAAGTAATACCACAAGATGGGGAAATTAGAATTCAAAGAGTTTGAGACTCGCATTTTGAAGGATGCCCTTTACTTTGCGGTAGTACTTTTGGAAATAGGATTGAATACGTTCCAACGAATACCCAACGGTCGGACGGCTTGCAGTTCTATTCTCAAAAAAAGACACGACAGTAGATAAATTATGTTATATGGGTTAAAAGAAGAGAAGACAGCACTACTAAAAGTAAAATGGAAAATAATACAAAGGTATAACATTAGACTAGGGAAAAATTTGATAAGGCAATATTGATATGCATTATAAACAAAATGGAAAAAAAAATTAGGAGGCTAAAAAAGCACTATAAAATAATGTAATGATTGTATTTGTAATTTATGTTGACCTACCTTTTCTTGCATATCTGCTTGAAGTAGTTGTAATTTATGATTCACTGAGCTAAGTTTTTCTTGGGTTTCTTTACAGGTGGTATCGGCATTGTTGAGTTGGTCTCTCTTTTCATTTAGCTCTGCTGTTATCTACAAATTATAATAATTTTTGTATGAATGACACATAAACCTCCAACCCGATGTAATTGTTAAGAGACTGGATGGACTTGGAGTGTAGAACCGAGTCTGGTTTCAGGTTGTCTTGGGAAAATAAAGGCTGTTTCAATCAACATTCAGGCTTGGAATCCAAAAAAAATATTAACACTTATGCAACAACCACCTCAGATGGTCGTATTTGACCTTTGACCTAAATATACCTTGCATGATGTCTCACCTGCCTAATTGGCTGTCACATTTGCAACCTATGACCAAAATTTCATATTCAAAAATCTCGGATATACATTATTTGTGACCCTTCCCCTAACTATGCCTATATATTTAAAATTGTACCTTACAAAAATAATTAATAAATTCAACCAAAAAGTAACCTCAATGGTCTATAAATTATTTCCGAGATTTAAGTGCACACTTTACCTTATCCACTTGGTCCTGTAGTTTGGCAAGTTCCTTCTGCTTATCTTCTAATGCATTCTTGGATGTCTTAATATGAGACTCAAGATCAGCACGCTGGGTTGCCATGGAGGCTTCTGTTGCTAAAATTAATTCATTCTGCAAAAAACACACACAACAAAATCTATACGTACAAAAAAAGCATATTAATTTTTTTACACATTACTCAAATTATTACAAAAAAAAAAAAAAACATTTGTATTTAAAATATGATTGTTGAAATAAGATCAACTGAGATGAATTTGCTGGTGAATAACATAGTCCAAAACCAGTGGCAACACCAGCAGGGAGGCAGCAATGGCTTCCCCCCACCATCGGACAGGTTAAGCCTCCACCACCGGCCTAAGCTCGTCGGGCAGTCGGATGAAAAAAAAAAAAAGGCCTAATGAAACGAAATGCATGTTTATTGAGTTGAGTTTGAGAGTATAGTAACAATTGTATTTTATCAACTTTACATTTAAAAGCATTTTTCAAGTCTGAGAGTGTAATTTACGGCCATTAAAAGAAAAAATCTCATTAGAGACCGGCTTGGTGAGAAGGCCCTTGGATAGCGATGCACACCAAAATTATCCTTATCTTACTCAGTTGGACAGTTTTCTTAGCCCCAGTCCCACCCTGTCTCCCTCTCCCCTCAGAAAATATATCCTACAGCTGCCACTGTCCAGAACCTGATACAAACGATAACCATTTTCTTGTCGCAATCCCTAATTATAGATTTACACAATGATTGTTTGATTAAGTGGTAAATATATTGATTGCTTGATTGATAGGCTGACAGATAACTGGATTGATTAATTTATAAATTGATTTGATTGACAGATGATTATTCTTATTTAAAATTTCAGATGGCAGTGTTCCAAAGTGGCCTGGTGCATTATAAAAAAAAATGTTATAAATAATTATAAGTCAAACCTTTGTATTGAGTTCAGCTTGCAGCGCTGCTGCTTTCTCCTGTGAAGTGGCAAGTTTGGAGCTGAGATCATCTGCATTCGTTGTCGACTTGTTCACCTTCAAATTTAACTCCTCAATTATAGACTTATTCTGCAAAAAAAAAAATTAAACAATTTAATTGAATATCAACAGAAATGATTTCAAAGCTATAAAACATTTCTAAATTTGTTTGCTTTAAACAAGGTATCCATTTGTAGAAGTCTTATAATTATAAACCTATTTAACAGTGACTTGCAGAGCAGCTCAAGCCCAGAATAAAGAATAAGGAAGAAAAGAAAGAAAATTGGAGCAGTGTACAATGGTCTTGCGTCTTGCATATCTTTCCTTGTCCATCTCCACACTACTTCTCGGCCAATCCGTTCTTCTTATTGTAACATGCTTTGTGTTACACGTGTCAGACATGTACGTACTGGCGAGCGATCTTTCTTTTTCTCAGCTCCTTCACTTTGGAATTCGCTTCCTGCTGCCCTTCGGAATATCACTTAGTTATTTTTTACTTATTAACTTTTTTTTTTGTAATTTTCACTAATCAGTTTATGGAATTCTTCTACTGCTGTTTTTTTCAATTTTTTTCCTAGCACCGGTGGCAAGTTATTTTTTAACTTTAAAAGGTGCTTTATAAGTTTTATTGCATTATTATTACTATTATACCAAAAGTTATATAATAACGATAATCACTCATTATCATATTTTACATTTTTGTAATAAATTTCAGGCACAAATCATCAGAGGAAATGCCAAAACATACATTTTTTTTAACACTGCTCTTGCATATATGCAGTGTTAAAAAAAAATGTATGCTTATTACAAGTATAATAATATATTGGTGGTTGTAGCAATGCATGCCACTAAAAGTTACCCATAATTGGCAGACAATGTCTAGTACTTATTTTGTTGTTTAGTGGGAAATTAAATAAAATGTTTGACAACTTTACCTCCTGTAGTTGCTTGTACATCTCCTCTTCCTTACTTCTCTGTTCCTCAATCAACGCTTCTTTTGATTCGTTTAATGTAGTCACCTGACTTCGAAGGCTAGTCTGTTGTTTTAGTAATTAATAAAACAATAGTCTTTTTTAAATACAAATAAGCATATAAACAATAAGGTAAAAAAAAAAAAACAGGATAGAAATTTGAAATTAGGTAATCACATTAAAAATACTAAAATAAGTATTACAAAAAGTGGTACTTTGAAACCTCATGGACTGAACGTCTCATTTAAATCTTTTAGAGATTAATTTGTTATTTTATTTATCTTGCTATGATGCATTCTGTGACCATTATACTATGACTTTCATTTTGCCTTTGATTTGTTTTCTTTTTTTAGACCTATGTCATTACACGCCTTCTAGGCGTAGCTGTTTGTATTGTCTTACTATGTTCATTGTTTCATTATGCCGTCAGTACCGCCGTTTAGGCTTTACCAATACCACCGCTTCTTTTGTATATGTTCTGTATATAACCCTGTTCACTCCACTATCCTATCAGTACCTGATGATGACCTATGGTCGAAAGTACTAGTACAATAAATATTTTATTTTTGAGACAGATACAGAACTTTGTTTGATATATATATATAGAAAATTTTGTGTTGCCAATAGAAACTTGTCAAAAAATAATGAAAATTGCATTGTGAGTGGATTTCCCACACGATTGAAAATTGCAACGGTACTGGGTATGATCTACAGGAGTTTGTGCTTTGAACAGGTCATTCCATTATTAGAAGAAGCCCTTTTATGGATAAAGTGTACCTTCTTAGCAAGGTTTGCCTAGGTCGAAACTAACTCTGGCTATATAAAATTGATTAGAATATTGAAAATGTTATTCTTGTTAATGAATAGATAAGGATTACTACTATGTCCATTTATATTAATCTAATCTACGTAAATTTACTTTCAGAGTTTATATCTAATTAATAAAATTGTTTGGATATTTATTTGAAAAATATATTATATAAAATAATGTAATTGTTAAAGTTTATAATAATATTTGATAATATTTAAATAAACAAAAAGATTTAAATATGTTAAATACAGACACAATGTATACACAGGCCTGTTCTAGAGTTCAGTTAAAATATGTGAATATGTATCAAAATGATATATTTAAATACATATATAAATATATACTAGCATATACCCGTGCTCCACACAGAGTTGAATGAATGGGGAAAAGAGATCGATGTACATTGCTGAATGAGGAAGTTGATGAGGCAATTGTTGTGGATGATGGTTACCATGTCATTATTTTTCTAAAGGATATCTTTGTAGTTAATTTTTCGAGTGTCTTTGCTGAATAGTTCTTGTGAGGAATTATTGTGCAGTTTGATCAAGGGTGGATCCAGAATGTTTCAAATTATAGAATAATTTAATAAGCGAATATACAGTAGGCCTAGCATGGTTGGGCATGAGAGAAGTGTTTCTCTTGAATCTAGGTTAATGCATGTAAGGCTATCCGAACCACTGACATTCAAAAGAACCTGTAGATAAACAATGTCCCCACATGTTTACGTATAAAATCAAGGTATTAATTGATGGAGCCGGCTTAGCCCTAAACTTAAACTTTAGTGTCGCTATCTTGCCTTAGTGATTATAAGGAGGCAGGGAGTTTAAGTACTCGTAATAATTGCCTCCTCTCAAGTTCGTAGTTTGCTTTCTCCATCAAATAGCTTTTTCTATATTGAAATGACCTATTCAAAGCACAATAACTCCTGTAGTCCAAACCCAGTACCATTACAAATTTAATCGAAAAGAAAATCTACTCATGATATATGATTATTATTCACTGAATTATTTAGAACTGCTAACATCTGTTAAATAATGCATCTTACATTGTCTTCTTTGAGTTGATTTATGGCAGTGTTAGCACCCTCGCCTTGTTCAATCTGCAATTAATTAAATATTCACAATGCTGAGTATTAAAAACACAAGGGATTTAATAACTTGAGTTGGCATATTTAATTGACTGTTGTTAGAATAAATACCATGATTTACAACATACAATATACACAAATTACGAGTTTTACAATAAAAATACTGTAATAATGCAAAAAATGTGTAATTGATCTTTTGTTCTATTTTCTAATACCATAAATACAAATGAAATAAAATATAAAAGGAATATCAAATTACTGGAGAATTAAATATCTTTACAGTTGAAATTGTATATCATCAAATAAAAATTTTAAATAATAACTATAAAAACACATTATATTTTCATTGCGGATTTTTTGGGCTCAGTACGGACTCTAAATGTATGCATTTTCTTTTAGTTTTAAGGCGTATGCGGATTTTATAAGTCCGCAATGACGATATAACGTGTTTAAAGATAAAAAAATTTTGTATTTAATGTTTACTTTATTGTTGTAATGGCAGTGTTAGCACCCTCGCATTGTTCAATAATGCACAAAATGTGTAATTGATTTTTGTTCTATTTTCTAATACCATAAATACAAAATGAAATAAAATATAAAAGGAATATCAAATTACTGGAGAATTAAATATCTTTACAGTTGAAATTGTATATCACCAAATATAAAATTTTAAGTAATAACTATAAAGATAAAAAACTTTCTTTATTTAATGTTTACTTTATTATTGTAATAATTACATTTTAAAATTTGTACTATCTAGTATTTACAAAATAATGAGGTAGGAGAAATAGGAGAATAATCCATAACTCGCAATGTCAACGTGATAAATTGCATATGGGTGTGTTCCGTGACTAACTAGCCGGCATTAAAAAGGTGCTTACTGTTCTTTAAAGTGCACATGAGCTAGATCTGTACACTGGAACTCCATCCGAGAAGATATGTTTCTACCAACCCTCGGGAAGTAGCAGCTCAAACCAGCGCTGATGTTTAAAGGCTGTAGTTAAAGGCGCCCCTGTCTTACGGATCAGCCACTCGAATCGAATTAAAAAAAATATATTTTAGTAAAAAAATATTTACCTTAAGTAATAGTTCTCTTCTTTCTTTCTCCATCCTCTCCGTGTCTTGTTTTTGAACTTGTAAAGCGCCCTCTACCTCCAAGAGCTGTTGCGTTCTTAAAGGGAATTTCAATAATATTGCTTCAGATTTGGAGGGTACTTTTACAGTATCGTGATACGCTATAGTTAACTTGGGCTTTGTGAGTAGACTTCCATTTGCTTATGCTGCACGGCCGTCTCAAGGCAAAACAACGTAACTGACATTTTTGTCGATTTTTTGACATTGTATCATTTGGGAGTATATTAAACAAACATTTCAGAATGACATGTTAAAAAGAGATAGCAACACCTATCTTTAAGCACAAAATGTAAAATCTAGTGACTTCCCGTAGTAAAACAACATAATTGCAAGATTACGGAGAAAACAACGTATCTATGATAAAAATATGTTGTTTTGCTTCGGAATGGTATTCAAAAACTGTTTCGATGGAGTTTTGCAAAGGTAAAAACTTTACTGGTTGATGGTGTTTTCATATCAATAATTTTTAATGATTACGTATACACAAGCTACATAATGCATACGATTGTCCCAAAAGTGATAAATTGAAAAAATATGCCACGCTTCCTATACATATATGTTTCCGAGGTAAACCAACGTATCTGTCAATATCGTTAATAAATTTACAATTAACTAACAGTTGTAATTAAAATTTTACATATAATTTATAATGTCTATAGATATATAGTCATACAAAATTTCAGAAGGGTCGACAATATAATTACATATATTATATATTATTATATAAGTTGCAAACATGCAAACTTTAACTCTATTTTTCTCTGACTACAGTAGAACCCCTATTAAGGGAACGCCTTCAGCACCAAAAAAATGTCTCGTTAATAGCGGGGCGTCACAAAGGAGGGGTGATCTGTATATATAGTATATTCATGTTATAATGTAACTAAGGATTAGTAAAATTATATTGTCACAAACAATTAATGCGTTTTGGATTTGCATATAAAACCAATTGGCAGTCAAGTCTGAACAAAACTAGAACTTTTAAAATAATTTATTGCAAAGATCTTTTCGAAAGTGCATTTTTTTAGTTTCATCTTTCTATTTCTTTTATACATCTCATCATTTATAGTTTGTGGAGAATATCCTATAACTCAAACTTTTAAATGACAAAATAATTATATACTTCTTTATTGTAGAGTATTTGTTACCACTCAATTAAAAATAAAGTTTAATTTTAATATTAATCTTTGAAATGATAGTATTGATATGAATATTTCAAAAAATATAATAGCAAGCATGAATCATATTAAGAAACAAACTTACAAAATGGTTATATTATATCAATATAAATAAAGATTGTTAAAAAAAGTCATTATAATAAACAACATGAGTTCAATGACAGACAGTCAAACTTACTTCGCTTGAATGAGGCGCAAATGTTCCTCAATATTAAATTGCTTCTCCCGCAACTCAGACTTGAGGTCGTCATTATTGCTGGCTTCCATCTGGTACTGTCGTTGGACCTCTTCCAACTGCCGAGAGATGTCGTCTGTACTGGATTCCTTCTCTTTGATCTGGTTCTGAGCCTGTAATGCAGAAATAAGCTCAAGATGAAATCAGTCAAGCTAAATTACATGGCTATGGAATTCCCAACATACCACAGACCACAGCACAAGCCTAATAATTTATTGTTAGATCACATGACTAAACATATTTGCTTTAGCATGAGAACAACATTAATCAAGACTCAATGATCAATAGATGTACAACTGTTTGGCGTATCTTGGTAACACTTCATGTTGGCTAGTTTTCAAATGCAGTGTGTTTGTTCACTTTATATAATTTTATTGATTTGTTTATTGGTCTTTTTTTTACATTATATGTACTTTTCATTGTATTACCAAAAGAAAAGGAATTAAATATTCATATGAAACTTTAAATTGGATTGCAGATGATTTAAATGTTTTGTTTCAAGCTAAATCAACAAAAATGTATTATTATTTATATATGCATCACGTTGTTCATAATTGTCTATATTTTAAATAAGCCATTAAATATTTTAATTGAATATTTCAAGGTTTATTTTGAAGACCTTAAATTTCAATTCCAATATCCAAACAAAAATGGAAGGTTCTCCTTAGCCCTGCAATTGAATATTTTTGTATTTTATCAAAACATCTAACAGTTTAAGCACCAATTATAAGATGAATATATATATATAATATGAAAGCATTAAAAAGCAGAAAATTACACAATAATCATTAAAAGCCAAAAATTCTGCAGTTATACTATAACTACTTCATGTATACTATGTTTAATATTAGAAAAATGACAATTAAAACTATAGTCTTGGAAAAAAAAAAAAAAAATTGCATAAAAATAATAAGATGTGTATTTGTTTGAAATTTATATAATCCTGTCTGATTGGCCAGTTAAGTTTGACTGACTTCTGGAAAGGTCAATGGCACCTGTTCCGCAAGTTCATACCTTAGTCACCTCCAGTTGCAAGTTCCTAATCTGCTGATCCTTCTCCAGGACAAGCTCATCAGAAGTTTGACGATGGTCTCCCATCTCTTGTTGCAAGCTTTCTAATATGCTCTCCTTTTCCTTGATAATTGCTTGTGACT